TCTCATGCTCATACGCTTCTTGAGGCCTTTAATGAAAGACGGTGAACGTCGTGATCTGTGAACTGGTTCCTCCTTTTCTGGCTTATATATGCGATCTGAGCTAAACGCCTTCTGAAGAACGCTTTTGGCAGATCTTGTGAAACCTTGAACACGCTCGAAAAGGGACTTTTTTGATGACGATGGTCCTCTGTAAAGAGCAAAGTCACTGGAAAGAAACAATGTAAGCATCAAGTTAACGAGGACTTGAAGATAACACCTAATTATAGTCTTATGAAAATATAGGAGCATTAGACATATCGAGACTATACCCCTACCACGAAAAATTAGATGCATTTCGTTTGACCAAGAGATTATCTCCCTTCCCTAAAAAAATGAAACCCATAGCGTCAGGCCACAAGACTATCCCCTCACAAGACTATCCCCTTCCCCAGAAAAATGAAATTCATGTCATCTGATCACTGAAGTTTACAGAGTAATGGTTGAGGGAGTTCCAAATTTTGAATGCATTGTTTACAGTTAAAAGTTGAGTGAGTTCTAAATTCTGAATGCACTGTTTACACTTAATAGTTGAAGGAGTTCTAAATTCTGAATGCATTGTTTACAGTTAATACTGGAGGGAGTTCTAAATTCTGAATGCACTGTTTACAGTTAATAGTTGAAGGAGTTCTAAATTCTGAATGCATTGTTTACAGTTAATACTGGAGGGAGTTCTAAATTCTGAATGCACTGTTTACAGTTAATACTGGAGGAGTTCTAAATTCTGAATGCACTGTTTACAGTTAATAGTTGAAGGACTTCTAAATTCTGAATGCATTGTTTACAGTTAATACTGGAGGGAGTTCTAAATTCTGAATGCACTGTTTACAGTTGCCTAAAAGTACCTCTGAATGTACTGTTTACAGTTGCATAAAATTACTTTTACAGCAATTCTTGGTTACAATTCGAGTTCATAATATGAAAAATCCTCTAGAACCTATTTTTGCCCAAGACTCAACATTGATGGCCAGTCGCGACCCAGTAAATAACTTTGGTTAAAACATTACAACAACACCTGGCTTACTAAATGCTTACTGAACAAAGTATTACCTATTTTCAAAGTCTGTTCGTAACCGTTTTACACATTCTGATAGCCCAGGCTTGGATGCGACCCACTGGTGAATCATCTTATGAGGAAAACAACCAAGCCAAATGTTTCAATACTATTTAGTCTTCATTTGCTAAAATCTCTTGAAATACTTGGACTTACCTCCTGTACATGAACTTTTTAGGAGGAATTGGTGGCTTCTGCTCTTCACAGAAGGGACCATCTGTGTCGTTCACGATACAAGGGTTACTAACTACTCTAGGAAGTGATGCAGACTTCTCAGGACGTTGAGATTTTTTGCTTTTATCAATAACAGCGTATTCTGGGGTTTCAGCTTGGCCTTGTTTGCTAACTCTTGAACCTGTCCAAAAAAAAGAAGAAATGTGAAAAAGCTTAACCCAATTCCCCCCCCCCCATAACTTAGATGATTCAGACGAAACATACCGCAATCTTTGGTGTAGTATGCTGATTGAATTGGAGGGAGTTGTAAGTTGACCATAGTCCAAATAAAATGGAAACAAAAGCTGGATATTCTGGAAAATAATTGAAACTAAACAAGTTGGGTATTTCCATGCTATTCCAGCAATGAAAACAAGATGGATACTTCCATGCCATTCCATCATGAAAACAAGATGGATACTTCCATGCCATTCCAGCAATAAAAACAAGATGGATACTTCCATACCATTCCAGCAATGAAAACAAGTTGGATACTTCCATACCATTCCAGTAATGAAAACAAGATGGATACTTCCATGCCATTCCAGCAATGAAAACAAGTTGGATACTTC